GGTTACAGGATTGGTGGGATTTTCTTCTTTTTTTTCTTGAAGGGTCAAAAAAATGACGGACCAAAGCTCTGTTGATGGGATTTTAGAGTTTCTTAAGAGAAATCGTTTCTCTAAAGCAGAGGAAGCTTTGCGTAAGGAGCTGAATAACCATTCTGACTTGAATGGTTTTCTTCAGAAGCTTACTTTGGAGGAAAAAGATTCAAGGGCTACTGCTAGTAACGAGCTTCGGAGGTCGGGTTCTCGAGATAGTGAAGTCTCCAAAGAGCTGATTGTGAAAGAGATAGACTGTGGGACTGGCACTAATGGCTCTGTAATCAAATGGGAAAATGGCGAGAAACCGAGCAAGAAGGAAACCGTTGTATCGAGTGAGATGAGCTTTACGTTTTCCAAAAACTTGGGTGACGATGCTGCTCTTGATGCGCATTCGTATAAATTTACTTCCTGTAATGGTAACTTGGAGCCTTATCGAAACGTTGATGATGTTAGTAGTAGCAGCTTGGGGGATTTATATGCAGTGGACCATTCGAGGCAGGGTGATATCGATAAGAAGATAGTTGAAACTGGTGAGGATATTGTATTCTTTGGGAATAAGAGTACTTCATGGTCTGGAAATACCAGTAAAGGGAACTCCGGATCCAAAAAAAGTGAAACAAATGAGATTGATCGGCTAGTTCAGAATTTTGGAAAGCCTGAAAGCTATAGGGGTAGCACACGCGTAAGAACTGAGGATGTCGTAGATGCAACCTCAGAGAACTGGAAAGAGTGTTCGGTTAACACTCTCTTTCAATCTTCAAGAGGGGATGCGTCAACCAGTTACAATATGGTTACCAACTCTGACAAAAGAGAAGGAAAGAAAAAGGCTGACACTGGTGATGTGAGGGAAGCGATCAAGAAGCAAGAGAGCGAGGTGGCAAGAGCTTTATTCTTTGGTAAAACTCAATCTACTTTTGATGATAAGAGTATAAGCAGCTTAGGTTTTCCACTTGTCTATGATACTCGGAAGGAAGAGTTTCCTAGGCTGCCTCCGGTTAAGCTCAAGTCTGAAGACAATCCTCTGAGTCTTTACTGTGAGGAAAAGTTCGAGCGTGATGGTTCAGGGCCTAGGCTAATCAATGACGAGGAGGCCCTTCTCATAGGTTCATACCTTGATGTTCCCATTGGACAAGAAATCAGCTCATCAGGTTAGTTACATGGCAATATAGCCATAGAATAATGGATAGTTTAGATGATAGTGCATCTGGTCTCATATACTTAAATTTTTACTACTGTGGTTATCACATTGCTACTAGTTAGATTTTTCTCCACAAATCTGCAGAAATAATGTCTTTTACTTGTGATGAACTCTTGCATTAGAACAATGCATTGATAAGTTATTGGCATCAATTTCAATGAAAGCATGCTATGTGTTTGGCCTTTTTCACGTTAACGGATCTGTATATGTTTGTTTTCCTTTCCTACATTCTAAAAGAACCATGTTGCTTCGTTCCTACTTTTCTAGTTTAACCTTAACCTTATCAATTTTACTGGAGGTGTCAAAGCAAGTTTTAATCTCCCAATGATCTCATACAGGTGGGAAAAAATCTGCTGGGGGAAACTGGCTTTCAGTAAGTCAGGGAATAGCAGAGGACGCATCAGATCTCGTTTCTGGTTTTGCTACCATCGGTGATGGTTTGAGTGAATCTGTTGACTACCGTAATGAATACTGGGACTCTGACGAGTATGAGGATGACGACGACATTGGTTATGTCAGACAACCTATTGAGGATGAAACGTGGTTTCTTGCCCATGAAATTGATTATCCAAGTGATCATGAGAAAGGAACTACCCGCGAAAGTCCTGACCATAATGGAAGAGATGCAAACAAAGACGAGGATGATCAGTCTTATGCGGAGGAGGCTTCTTATTTATCTGGCGAACAGTATCTGCAAGGAAAAGATGCTGAACCTATATCTTCAGAAAATGACCGAAGACTTACGGTCTTAGAAATGTATCCAGCTAGCAAGAAAAATGATTTAATAGCCCAATATGATGGGCAATTGATGGATGAGGAAGTGCTCAATTCAATGCGTGATGAGCCTGTTTGGCAGGGCTTTGTAGCTCAGACAAACGAACTATTCATGTTGGGTGATAAGAAAGGCATAAATGCCCGTCGAAAATCTCATCTTGATGATGTTTGCCTTGAAGATGACCAGCATGATTCAGTCAGATCAATTGGTGTGGGTATACATAGTGATGCAGCTGATTTTGGCAGTGAAGTACGTGAAAGTTTGGCGGGAGGGAGCAGTGAGGGGGATTTCGAATACTCACGTGATCATGATGCTGTAGCATCCAGGATTAAACAGCTTCACGCTGAGTCAGATAAGAAACATATTGATGGATCAACCAAGAATAAACAGAAAGCAAGTAAATACGATGGTTCAGACTACATTGTAGATAATGATGCCGGCAGAAGTTTTCATGTGAAGACTCAAACGGATGGAGGTTTTTCGTTTGGCTCGTCTCAAAAAGATGGGCAGTTGATGAACGCTGAATCTAGTAAATCATTATGGTCAGGCAATCACAAAACGGTAATCAGAGATGGGAACGCTGAACGTTTGAGCGCTTCAACAGCTACTGATGATATGGTTGCAACTTGGAGACGGAAAAGTAGCGAATCGTCAAGTCCTCAAAGTTCTGTGAAAGAAAATAATGCAACATCCATAAAATCTGTTGACTCATCTCCCTCTTCACTATCAAATTATGCTTGCAAAGAAAGAGAGCACGCTGATAAAGAAGATGATGGAAATGATAGCAGTGAACGAGAGGATGACCATGCGGCAGCCCTTGATGATGAAGAGGCAGTGGCAGTCCAAGAGCAAGTAAGACAAATTAAGGCCCAAGAAGAGGAGTTTGAAACCTTTGACCTCAAAATCGTGCATAGAAAAAACAGGCAAGATTTCTCTCCCAACTTTTATGGTTTGAAAACGTAGGACACGGAGGGTACAGTGTCCAATGTTGAAAAATAATTGAAGTGGATATGGTTCAATATGATTACCAACTATTTTTTTCTGACGAATTAAACTCATGACTGGACTAGTCAAAATTTTCTACATTTTCATTATATATAGCTGAGTGCTGCTCTTATTGTTTGTTTTGATTTTATCAGAACTGGTTTCGAAGAGGAAAAGAACTTTCACGTGGTATTAAATTCGGTCATTGCTGGGCGTTACCATGTCACTGAGTACCTTGGATCAGCAGCCTTCAGTAAAGCCATACAAGCGCATGATTTACAGACAGGAATGGACGTATGTATAAAAATTATAAAGAACAACAAAGACTTCTTTGACCAGAGTCTTGATGAGATAAAACTTTTGAAGTATGTCAACAAGCATGATCCTGCCGACAAATACCATCTTCTACGGCTGTATGATTACTTTTATTACCGGGTAAGTGATCACGTCTCTTTTGCAGAGTTTTATTCTGTTATAGTATGTCAAAATGGGCCAATTGTGTAACTGACAGGAGGTCGAACCAGTTAATTAGGTCATAAGTGCTAAGATGCTGTGGTATTAACTTTTGGAGAATCACATATGCCAATTTATGGAAGTGAATCGGTTACCAAGTCGGTTTTGTTTATTGGAGAAATTTATTTGTTAAGCATGACTTGAGAAATATGCGTATATTCATGTTATTCATTTTATAATTTAGTTTTTGCTTTATCGTTGATGCTGTAAGCTCTGCAAATTGTGCATTCCATTCATCTCTGGATTACTGTCTTCTTCTTTCTACAATTTTAGGACAAGTCTGAAGCCGCTTTGAAATAAATCTCTCTGTAAATGGCAGAAATTTCGAATAATGGTTTCCCTGGCTGTATTTTGCAGGAGCATTTGCTAATTGTATGTGAACTTCTTAAGGCCAATCTGTACGAATTCCACAAATTCAACAGAGAATCAGGTGGTGAAGTTTATTTCACAATGCCAAGATTGCAGGTTTGTCCGCTTTATCATTACGATTCAGTGTAGGTACATATCTAGCCGATTCCTGATCTCTTTTGGACCATTTTTGTACAGTCAATCACTATCCAGTGTCTGGAAGCACTTCAGTTTCTACATGGTCTTGGACTTATACACTGCGATTTGAAGCCTGAGAACATATTGGTGAAAAGCTACAGCAGATGTGAAATAAAAGTCATCGACCTAGGAAGTAGCTGTTTCGAGACAGATCACCTATGCTCCTATGTCCAATCGAGGTCATACCGAGCACCAGAAGTCATTTTGGGACTTCCTTACGATAAAAAGATAGACGTGTGGTCTCTTGGATGCATTTTGGCAGAACTATGTACAGGCAACGTAAGTTCTGCATATCAATCGACTTAGTCCATTCCATTGCAAATGGATCAATCAATTCAATCACGTATACTTAACTTTTGGTGGAGTTTATAATTGCAGGTTCTTTTCCAGAATGATTCTCCGGGAAGTTTACTTGCAAGGGTTATGGGAATCATAGGGTCTATCGATCATGAAATGCTTACCAAAGGACGTGATTCCCACAAATACTTCACAAAAAACCGAATGCTCTACGAGCGGAACCAGGTAAAGTGTTCCCCTGAATCAATGTCACTAGAGTGTCTACAAAACTCGGCGTAAACATGCTAACAAAACAACATTCTGTTTTCAGGAAAGCAACAGATTGGAGTACCTAATACCTAAAAGAACATCGTTGAGACATCGGCTTCCGATGGGAGACCAAGGATTCACAGATTTCGTGGCTCATCTTCTCGAAATCAACCCGAAGAAGCGTCCTTCTGCATCAGAGGCTCTTAAGCATCCTTGGCTTTCATATCCTTACGAGCCAATCTCTGCTTAGAAAAAAAAAACACTTAATTGCAAGTTTTTTTTTGTTGGCTTTCTTCTTCTTCAGTCAGAGTGCAATGGTGAGATTTCAAAGAAGAAGAAACAAAACTTGTGAAAAAATTTGATCAGAAATGTAACTTTGTGTTGTCAAAAAAAACTTGTAAAACCTCTTCTTATTTTTTTGTAATCTTTCACTGATCCTTTATTAGTCCTTTGATTAATGTTTTACTTGGATCTTATTTTTATTGAAATACAATCATTATAATATAATTCAAGATTATTGTGCTTTTTTTTTTTTTTTGGTTATTAGAAAAAAATGAAGCAATTTGTGAACACTCCTTGCGCTTAGCAACTAGAGTAATTGATTTGATTCCGATGAACACTGTTTC